CGAGACTTTCTCGGATATCTGTCTGGCAGGTCTAGACCTTGATGACAGTGAGTGTGAGCATATTGCCGAGTCGCGTGGATGGAAGACACTACTCGAAGGGTGGAAGGCATATCTCAAGGTTCGATTTGTTATTCTTTATCATCCCTCACTTGATGCTAACATCAAACGCAACAGGATCTATGGGAGGACAAGGACTTCCAAATGCATCTGAAACGGATCTTCTACCAAACCAAATCCGTCAAGGAGTTCTTCACCAGCGCCCTCCTTCCCATCAGCGACCTCCACCACAGCACCTACGCAGACGAATACAAGATCCCAACACCTCAAGCCTTTGCATCCGCGCCTCTATCATGTCCCGACCCAGCTCCACTCCCCTTCTCCGCATCCATCACAACCCAGTCCAGCCCCTCATCGCTCCCACTGGCCCTACTGCTAGCAGCAACCCGCCTATCAGCCCTCTTCGACCCAGGCCTAGAAGGAGCACAGAGTCTGGCACTTTCGTTTCCCGCCGCTTACGCGGAGTACGTGCGGTTGCTTACTACTGCCAAAGCCTCCGCTTCGGTGTCTGGCGCTGCTGCGACACCTGGTCGGGTCTGGGGGAGGGATGTAGCCCGGGAGGCGTGGGAGAAGCTCGTTCGGTGGGGTCTTGTCACACCGACTGGATCAGGGAATGGCACGGCAGATTCTCAGATGTTCCGAGTGGAAATCAGCTTTGAGGAAGTGGTTGAGATGGCGGGTAAGGGTGGTTCACTCGGTCAGTGGTGGCGAGATGGTTGATCTGTAGGAGTCTGTCTACTCCTGCAAGAGTGGGGATAGAGCCATGGCGTATTGTTGAACAGGAAGGGCTTAGGCTGTATTGCATTTGCATCTATAGAGCTGGATGTTGATACCTGATCATGTTCAATATCCACTTTCCAAGGTTGTATACCACCTCACTAAGACCTAGTATACTCCTAACCTCACCAGCGTGTAAATATTAAAAAACGATCTCATAGCACGATAAACACAACAATAATAACCCCAGCCAGCAAAGAACCGGTTGATGTGAAGATTCCGGGTTGATCTGTTGATCTTCTTTGATCTTGAATTGACACCTCAGGCCACAAGGCACACCGATCAACAGCACTAACTACATGTATAGCAACGTCTGCCGTCATCCTATCTGCCCAGTTTTCGCCCTATGTCCTTTTTAACACAGGTGATGTTGTCATCTTGGCCTTCACCCATCTTCAACACTTCATTATTCATCCATCCTCACTATGGAATCATCCAGTGCCAAGGGACTCGTCGCATTGCCCCAGGAAATCATCGAGGCCATCTTGGTCGAACTCGGTTCATCTAGTTTCCGGCCCATCAGTCATGTGTGTCGCAGTCTGCGTTCGATATGTCTACCGTTTCTGTACCGCTCAATAGTGCTTCGGGATCCCAACCAGGCAGAGGCGTTCCTCGCGACACTTTCTCAGTCACCGCATTCGATTCCTCTTCTTGTTCGGGAACTGCAAATCCATTACCACAATACACTTGATGAGAAAGACAACCCGACTACTTCTCCGGAGCACCTTGATCCCCTCATTATGAAGTTATCTAGCCTAGAATCGCTAGTGATCAAAAGCGACTTTTTTGATTATACAGCTGCGGAGAAAATTAGCCTACTACGCCAACCTGAATTGTTTCCCTCGCTTACTTCATGTAGGCGTCCTTACGCCGTTAATGGAAATACAGAATGCTAATTTCTTATTAGGTCATATTGGATTTGATCTCGGCCATTTTCAAACCTGGTACCTTTTTCCGTACGAGGAGCTGCTCTTCCATCCTAGCCTACAAAGTCTCACTTTCTCTGGAGCTGCGGTCCAGACGTCCTCACGGCAGCCCCAGACCCCTCGATCAACGCAACTTGAAGAACTACGTTTCCTGAACTGTGATCTCCATGCGTCTGAATTAGCAGATATGCTCCGGTTCCCCCGTGCGCTGAAACATTTCACCCTTAAAGGCCAGGGACCAGACCCAATCATCACCCCGCGCTTCAGCGAATCTGATCGCACGGAATATCTCGATGCTCTAAAGCCCCACGCCTTGTCACTTGAAAGCTTAGATCTAGATCTCGACCTTGACTGGGAAGATCCGTTGGATATGAGAGACTTTGTTGCTCTCAAGCGGCTGACCATAACACCAAGAATGGTGATAGGGGATGACACCGAAGAGGAAGAACTGAATGGGCGTACCAGGTTCACTCCCTGGAAAGAATTACTTCCGCAATCCCTCACGCATCTGACTTTTCGCAACGACGAAGCTGTTTTCCCTCTCGATGGTATCTACGACACCGTACGCGATGAGGATCTTCCAAATTTGACTTCTTTCACTTGTGAAATGCTTCGAGATGCGCCTGAGTATGGCGTTTCCTGCACTCCAGAGGAGCTCTTGAGTAAACAGTGCCACGATGGACCGTCCTTCTCACAGGCGTTTGGACAACTGGGGGTTCAGCTGTCCGTCGTCCAAGTTAACGATCCCGTGCCCATGGTGGAGAACGAGCATTGCCCATGCCCCTGTTGGACCTATCGACATCGATTTCGGAATGATGTACCGTGGTGATTCTAAATTTGGATAGATTTACCTGTTTACGTACCTACTAAATCAGACTTGAATACAAGATGCACGAAAACCAACACCGGAAGATTTTCTCCCACTCGCTCTCAAAGTAGAATTGAGCTCGCCCCTGAGCATCCGGATTGATCACTGAAGAGGCTGCTCAACCGGCCCCCAACGAGGAAGGCAAAGTACTACGTAGGCTCGGTAGTTGCTACTGTGTTACCTAAATAGAACATTTTTGTTCGGTAGTGGCCCCAAGAAAAGGCCCGAAGACCCAAAGGTCGAATGAGAGCCAAAACTCCTCTTTCGGCAGGGGTTCGATTGCTGCCCCCACGTCTCACCCAAGGTCTGCCCCATGTCGATCGACCTAATGAAAAGCCCCCAAGGGCCACGCAATGATCAAGCGGAGAATATAGACTGTGATCCCATGTCGATCTAGTGGCGTGGGAGCCTCATTGTTCCCTCCTCTCTTGGCCAGCAGTCACAGTAACTAATCGGTTTGCTAAAGTGGCTCTAGCGATTATTCGAGGCTTAACGAACGTCTCTGATTTCCAAAATAGATTTCCTTAGACATAAAACAGCTTTCACCTAGGTTTGAGAAATTCGTGGGGGTTTGTTGGTTGCCGTCCGCATATAATAACCGTGTTGAGCCCGCCGATCATGACGCGGATAAGGCTGCAACTGCGATGATTCTCTTCGCATAACTACCAAGGACCATTGATCTAGTCCTACTTAGGTATGAAATATGTATTTGGCCCCACCACTATTTGAGCTAGGTCTAATCAGGAACAATATTCATGTGTGCTCTCGTTATCAAAGGGAATTAATGCAGGTACTTCCGGGACAACCATGAGAACGTCATGGCGATCTGATTTAAGCGTAATGGTTGCTGAAGAACGGACAAACCTGGGATCAATAGACAAGATTCTTGTATGTGTTCGCACTCGGTCATTTGTGATATTTGCGTAGATACTTCTACGACCAGCAGCGAGTAAATGTGCAGCTCATTGCGAGGAATCCCTGACATATCTGAAACTATTCTGTGTTTGCCACAGAGACTGGTCCAAAGTCGCCCCAGGAGTATTTGATATAGCCAATTAATGAACATGCGACAGTATACGGGAGCCTTAGTGGCGGCATTTTGATGCATGACCAGGAACCTATATAATGCCCCAAGACTAGGTCTGGTCTTCCGTCCCATCCAACCGGACTTTTACATCTAAAGTCACGATGGTTGCTTCCAAGCAGACTTTGCTCCTGGCTTTCCAACTTCTGAGCATGGGGGTAGCCATTGCTACTGACTCTCCCCGGTGCTCGGCTGGTCCTTCCCTCGCAGGAGTACAGTCCTCGTGCCATGCCTCTACACGCAATAATGGCCAGGTCATAGAAGAGGTGACTTATACTTTCACACGTTCCGCCTCGTCTAGTAGGGGTAATCCCTCCACTTTCACTTCTAGACCTAGACAGTCAAGCAATAGTGTTACTGTCCCGAAGCCTGGGTCAAGCTCGACGGGTACTGAAACTTCGTCCAAACAATCTGGAACCTCGCCTGGGCAAAGTACGACTTCAAGCCGTTCAATTTCATTATCACAACCTTCAGGCCAAACTCCTAGCTCATCACAGCCTTCCAGCCACCCAGGAACCTCGACCGAGCCTGGTTATACGTCGGGCAGCCCGCGTCCACCATCATATAAACCTCATCCCTCCGGGTCTATTACAGCCAGCACACCTTACTATTCCTCCAAGCCACAGAAAACACACACGGCAATCTCCAGCGGCAGTGTCACTATTACGCCCGAGTACACATCGACCGACTACCCCGCTTATGCTAGTATCACTGGCACTATCACCACGACCACTACAGATGACTGGGGTCATCATGTTCCCCTCGTGGTTGGGCCTTCAGGAAGAGGCTGGAAATGTGTCACGTCTTGTGGAGGGCCTCCTGGAGGGGAAGGTGGTGGAGGAGGAGGGGGATCCGGTCCAATGATCCATCAAATACACCAGACCCATCGGAATCACCATCTGAGACCGCGTCAGAGAGTTCGAGCGAGTCTGCAAGCAGCGAGTCAACGAGTGAACCTACAAGCACCCCAACAAGCTCGTCCACAAGCTCGCCGACTAGCACAACGCGGTCTAGCTCTTCAAGTACCACTTCTTCTCGCAGCCTTACTAGCACTCCTTTGTCTACTTCGACAGGCTCAGGAGGCTGCTATAGACTCCCTCCCGCAACTGATGAGCCCGCACCAACATCTAGCGCATACATTAAGCGCAATATTGATGGTCATGATATGCTCTTTGGGCGTGGAGGCGAGCAACGCACGCCTATCAGAAAACTTGGAACCTGTTCGTTTGGTGCGGGCAATACAATCTACATTCCTAATTATCCTGGGCCCGCGTCAATCCAACAACAAATGGGGGATGCGCTGAAGGGCTTTTGGATTGTGCAAAAGGATGAGACCTCTTGCCATGCTCCTGAACTATCTCTGCTCACAGAAATGGATACATTACAGGACACGCCATATGACGATGACAAGGGCACGAAGTATTCTAGCCCAGGTGTACAGGCTGGTGCATATGTCACTGTTGAACACGTTTGTATGTTTTGCTTCATATTAGTGGACTCGGCAATAGCACATCTGCTAACAAAACATTGCCTTAATAGACGAAATACAGTTCCTGAAAAACTTCATGGTCCATCTTCTGGAAAGCGGCGCGATTGACTGCGACGACCTGAAGACAGCCCTCTTCAAAGAGGTCGAAGGCAGCAATATTGGGACAGAGCTATGGGGCAAAGTAAGTACTAAGGATTCTCTGAAAGGGACGAGAGCTTAACCCGAGTTTAGCTGCCAAGCGACAAAAACCTGAATTTCGAAGTTTTGGATAGCAAGGTTAATGATGCTAAAGGCGACGTATGTCTAAAACTATATTTCCTTCACAATTGGATGCTAACGTGCCTATGATAGATGTTTGACATGAACAAAAACGGAGGGATCAAGAACCCGAAACAGCTTGACATGAAAGTACAGCAATTAAACATGTTGGGCATGGCTTTCGACTTCCTGCAAGACTCTGATGTGCAAGAGAAGTTTAGAGACTCTAACTCAGGCATCTACGAGTACTTGCGGTATATGGACCGATGTGATCAACAACTACCTTCACCGCAAGGAGGATGGGCGTCGGCGTACTCAAGCTGGTTCCCCGAGTATCTTACATCGAAGGCCTCGGTTGCGTCCAACTCAATGAGCGCCAGATATGCCCAGGCGACTAAAATGGTGGAGAAATACAACGACAAAGACAAAGCTGCGAAATTGTCGCAGGGTCTGAAGATGTTCTCTATGCGCTACCCATCGCAATCGTGGAGTATGGACATTGATGCGATGGTGTCCTGGCCTGCCTATAACGTTGAGAAGCGCGGTTCAGCTTGTTCTCTTGACCCGAACCCTCAAGGCAGCAGCAGTAGCAGAGCTACTGCCACACCTTCTTCTCGCAACACACTCTCACCTCAACCCTCGCCCGGCAGCACACCTCTCTCGTCGCGACCTACCTCAACCCAGGTAGTCGTGTCGCAGGTAACTGTTAATCCAACATCTTACACATCTACAGTTGTTGTCACTCCTTCCCCAACACCCTGGGTTGAAGATATTCCATCCGTGTTCATCAATTCCATTCCGCCGAAAGTGAGCTCGGAACTCGCAGATGGCGACCCTGTGTATGGGAGCGAGAGTGGTATTGATGGTATGCTTACTTTAGCGGATGGCACTCTTGAATTTTCCTCATCTACTGAGGTGCCGATGATCAATCCTGCGTTTGACGGTGGCGCTTGATATAACTGTGTTTATAGAAAGCTTCTGTTTTTGAGTCTGTGTAGTTTTCCTTCCCCCCACCCGGGAGCAGTTGGCTATTGATTGTGATAAATTGGATAGAAATTGAGATAGGGTAGATCTACAATAAGAATGATTGCATCAGTTCATACTCAAAGGGCGCGAGGGATATCTGAGGAAAAATCTTCCATAATAAATTGGTCGTTGCTTTCGAGCAAGAGTGATATAGTTCTCATGGGTGATGCTGGCTATGGATCCTTAGGTGTCTAAAACTCTCATATCATGACCTATTAAGGTGTCCCAAAAGAAAACACGGCCTAGGAATTGCTACTTGCGTTAATACAACAGACATCTACCCATACGCTACAGGAAGAAAGACTCGGAGAAGATGCTCTCTGAATCCCAATTTCCATGAAAAAGTGAGGGTCACCTGTGGAAGGTACACAGAAAATGTATATATATATATATATATTTCTGCACCGTATCCATCACTATGTATTTCGGATCCAAAGAATTCCGGACCCAAACCCACAGCAGTGCATCCACCCATTTGCACACCTAAATCACGCCCTAAAACTGGCCATTCTCGGAAACAAACAGTACTGTACGTAAACCCCTCTCATTACCAAGGCATCCACAATTGATTGCAAATCGTCCTACCAAGATCCGTGACTAGGCCAAATGCAGGTAAGCATGCGACGCGCCATGTGTCTGAAGTGACATGTCTCGAAGCATGTTAATCATGCAAGGAGGCGCATGGTTGTGGGTAACCGGGGTACCATGCGACGAGTCTGCAGACCACGCGTGGTTTTGGAATAGACCAATCAATAATGTCTTCCCAAATCCGTTTATCCGGGTTTATTAGTGTGTGGCTTGCTGTATTGCTTTGCTGTGACTATGCGTTTTACACGATGCATACCTACAGTATACATGTTCTAGACACCTGTCGGCTGTCGGCTGTCTGCTTTGACTGGTCATGCAGAATGCACCCACACCCCAACTCCATCGACCTTCCCATCTGGTCGTAGGACAGCACCGAACGGGCCGTTGGCAATCCACCCAGTCTTTGCTGCAGGCTGCAGATCGGTATTCTGGGTTGTTGCACGGGTGGCCGGGCCCAGCCCTTACGGAAACGACCGAAAAAAAAAAAAGGAAAATAAAATAAAATAATAAAAAAACAAGGAAGCTGGTCGAGAACTGTATTTTGGGCCCTGCAAGGAATCTGTGCAACATGGCTGCAACAATGCAAGCGACCGTCGGCTCACACATACACACATACACAGACAGGGCCAAAATGAAGAAGAGGAATTTTGCAGATGGGCGGAGGTTGCCGAGGTGAATGGCGATGTACCCAACCCCGCTTGCGGTGATGCATTTTCGTCCCGTCCCACCCTAGCAAGGACAGGGTCGTGAAGTGTGTTGTTAAAAGGTCGACCTAAGCTAATTAATTGGTTGTTGTCAGTGGCGGATCATCACGCATACATACTATTCTACTGTCCATCGGACGATTGTGGTCTTCCGATTGAGAAGATCGCTGCCCATTTTTTGAATGTCAGATGGACGGAAACCGGATAAAAGGAGAAGAGCAAAAGCAGGGATCATCACTCTGAAGAAATGCCACGAGCGCGCTGTGATTCGGCCTCGCAGTGGCGATCACTGGCCGTCATCTCCGCCGTCGCCGTCCATGCAGTAGTTAACTTGCAGAAGCGAGTCGATCAGACAATCTACGAGCCGTGTTTGGATTGTTTGGAAAACATCATTCCCCCCCTCCCCCCCCCCCCCCATGACGCCATATTTGTCTTTTGCGGTGGAAAGTATCGACACTTGTAGTTAGTGGCGAAGACGTAGTGCATCTGCAGATGTTGGGCGACTGCACATCAACGGGGGTTTTCCGGGTTTCGCTAGGCATGGCAGAGAGAGAGACAAGCCTGGATGGATGTAAAAAGGATAAGAACTCTGCTTGATGGTGTGCAGCAGTGGGTGTCTACCATTATTGGGCAGTCTTACACAAAATTGTGATTATGCCGTGGTCCTTTTGGCCCGGGACAGGCACTCCTACAGGAGATGGCAGGCTTGCATATGATTTACATCCTTCAACCTTCACCCGGGGAAAGGATGATCGACTGATGCAAGTCATGATCGCAACCTCTGGCCCAATCGTTTCCTGCGATCGTCGACCTCATCTAGATACTAGCGAATCCTTTGGATGATGTTAGATGTACCTACTGATCCTCCATTGCGACACCTCCCAGGGGAACCCACGCGAAGTTGAATCCTTTCTTCAATACTTGCGGGCGAAAGGAATCGTGAACCATACTCCGTACATACGACCCGTCTTTCTCTTATTCGGGACTACTGCTAAATGACAGACCACCTTGTCCAAGTGAGTACCCTCCGATCCGATCGCACCTAGCTGTCACTTATCGAATAACAACAGTTAAGCACACAATAATCAAGAATTAGGGTTTGCACTCCGACAACTCCCGCCGAGCTTCGGTCGAATGATACCTTTTCCCAAGGTAGGGCTAAGTCAGGAACAAAGACGTAAAAAAAGGGGCAACACCGGGTTCCTCCGAATCCCAATAATTGGATTGTTCAACTATTCCCAATCGCTTCAGATATCCGGGAACCACAGATAGGCTCCAGGAGACGGACCCATGGCTCACCGTGGAGGCGGTGCTTCTTAGTGTCTTCCAGAAAAATTCTGTAATAGTGCTAGTGCGAATCCGAAATCTCGCCACACGGACTTCCCCCGTATTCTCTCATTTTTCTCCCACTTTGGAAACCCCTATTGGCACATCGGAATCATGCCACCCCCACGCTGATGCTCTGGAGCCCGCTCTGGCCGAAGTGGATCGCTGGTAATGGGTCAGGAGCTGTTCGGTTCAGATTGATCTGGGCTTTTTTTCCCGATCCCAGATCACGTTTACCAGAGTCTATGACGTGATTCACTCAGTATTATGTACTCAGCCCTCGCACGCCATGTCTCGTTCGAGCAGGTGGAGACACAGTGTTTTGTAAAATTGTATGTACGATTCGGCCCTAGAGTCATTGGCTCAGCACAAGCTGCGGCGATCGTCCGAAATACGATTCATGCGAGGCCTGAGAACTGGTCTAACCCCAACCGGGACAGCGCGCGGAGCCCTCTTTTTTTCTGGTGATTCACAAATTGGGGGCCGAAAATAGAAAGCAAAAATCTCCGACACGACATGAATAGCTAAACTCACGGCGAACGTGAAGATCCCGCGTTGTAGTTCTGGATTTGTCTACGCCATGCACCCAAACCGCAGTGCCGGATCGCAACAAACAGCGATCAAACATCCATTTTGGTACCCCTCAATTTTGTACAGTACATAAGCCTGCTATGCACTGCATTGAGGGGTCCCTCGCTGCAGGATGGCCATCCCTGTTCCTCCCCGACCCAGGAGGCAGCCACATGGCGGCAGACGCAGTGAGTGCCCGAGAAGGAATAGGCGATTGTCCTAGGGCATTCCACGTGGCAGAGAGGGGGCACAGAGATCGTGAGATGACTCGTGTCATGTTCTTCCCCGCACGCTGCTGTCCGGGGTCGGCGCTCTTTACTGTCGTAGTTTCAAGATGAGGGCGCTAACTAACTATGGCGACTTCACGAGTATTATTATTATTCCAACTGCAAATACGAGGGCCTCCCTCAAACCATCACCAGCGCTATCGGCATGCAAGGGGCGCCCAGGCCGTAATGGCCCTGGTTTACTTTTCTCATCACCAATCAGGGCTGCACCCCAGCGGACCGACAGTCCCTATGGCGCACCCCTGACCGAGTTTGACACCGCCGCCGTCGCGTGGCAATCAGGGATGGTGTGATGAGGATCAACACGAGGATCGACTGACTTCCACTACGTCTGTTGATGAAACCGTCTGACCGCAACTCTGCGCTCAGATGGAAAGATCCTCCGGCGTCTCTCGGGATTAACTATTTCCACCAGCCGTCTGATCTTAACTCTGTCCAGCTAGTAGCGGCTTCAAGCGACCCGCACGGCCCATGCTGAACTAGTCAACAATGTGGCTTAGAGTCTCGTAGTTGCGCTGCTAGTCGTCGTTAGGCCAGCCATTCATCCTGTCCGACCACTTTTATTTTGACACGGGCCCCCAATTATTGGAGGAAGGAGCCAGAGCCTCAGCGATCATTTATTGTCCGAGGGGGCCTGATCGGATGTGCTCGGACGGGTACAGGGCACTATTGGCCCCTGGTGGCCCCCCTTTTGCGTCCTTGCCGGTGTATGTACGGCGGACAGATGGACGGTCGGTACTGTTTACAGCCTAACTCCATAGGGTACCGTGATGTACTCAGTGATCCACGCACCCACCCCTGTCCAATCCACGTGGCAAGGGGATCGGCAGGATACATCGATTGGATGTATCACGAAGTTCGCCTCTAGAAAGCTGCTAGCGAAAGCCTTACCGAACGATTGGGAGGCGAAGGCTCGATGAGCCCAAGACTGCCTCGTTGCGACACCGCTGACGTATGAGGCCGGAATGAACCATTGTTGGGTGCCTGATCCTGGCGCGGGCACCGACCCCTGAGAGGCGACGAGTAGGCGCCAGCGGTATCAGAGTTACCGCCATCCAGGTTTGAGGGAAAACATCAAACAAAGGATGAAACAAACAGGTTGTCGGCGCGAAGGAACAAGCGAGATTGTACAGACGCTAAGCCCACGTGGGCGTGGAACCGTCCAAAGAAGGCGTGGAAGGCTAGCTGAATCACCTAGGGAATCCGAGGGGGACTAGGTACTGCCTACTCCGGACTAGCCGATCAGAATTACGTCTCGGACTGGTCGGGCTGCATTGGGACTCCTTTCCCCAAATGGCACTAGTGTCCAGTGGCGACCCACGATAAGGTTGGTGTTTGAGCCAACACGGGGAGGCTGAGAAGGATTCCCACGTGGTGTGCGCTCGGGGGGCTTTTCCTGAAATCACCATGGGAAGAGCGACGATCTCTGCAGCCAGGTTCCCTGGGTCGGATGTGTTCAATGATTTCACCACACTCGGTATTGGTATTACCGCTCCACCTCACTTGGGATTTTTATTCAGAGGAGAGAGTAGTGGTCGTGTCGCAAGAGGAATGGAATGATCGAAGGCAAGAAAAGAATGAGTAGAATGTAGTCGGACTGCCCGTCCACGCTGCCGTCGTTCGCGTGGCCAGTGGGTCAAAGACACTGCAGATTTTCCTCCTTCTGCCTCCCGCCGTAACTACACTTCGGTTTCATCGTGTTGTTGCCCTCAAAACAAAAAGAAACCATTTCCCCCTTTTTCCCGCTCCCCTTGTTTCCTTCCTTCCTTCCACTCCATAATTATTTGTGCCCCCTTCTTTGTCCCCGATCGGCGCAATCCCCGTCCTTCCCTGCCTTCCCTTCCCTTCCCTTTCCAATGCCAACCATATCTTCCGGGAACCACTGCCGAGAAGATTCTCTCCCTCTCCCTCCACTCCTGCCGGACCCTTTCTCTCCTACTCACACTTCCACCCTCACCCGCACCCCCTCGTCTTCCTCTTCCGTCATCATTTCTCCGACGAGTACCACCACCACCTGCTCCTCACGCCCTCGTCCCTCCTTTGCCGCCTTGGCCCGTGGGAAACCCTCCAGCACTTTCGCCAGTTTCTCGGCCTCACAGAAGCCTCCACTGCCAGTGACCCCACCACTGTCCGCCAAAAGCCCCAGCAGTGATCAGTTGTCCTTTGATACTTCGCGTGCCTCCTCCCCGGCGCCAGCGGAACAGTACCCTGGGCGTCGCCAGACCCTCTCGCGCCTTCCGACACCTCCCCAGGACAGCCGTCCAGCCCAGCCGGCTCTACCCTCCAAAATGCATCAAACCTCATCCCGCTTGTTGCGCATGACCGAAGATGACCGTCCTTTCACCAAGGTACGTTGCGATCGCATGGACGGGGGGACATTGGACACTGACAAAGTCTAGGATTTCATGGACCTCTTCTCCACCCTCATGGTCAGCTTGAAGTTGGATTCACACCGTGTTCGTTTTACCCGATATGACCACACTTTCACCTCAGAAGAGGCCATCAACAACCTGGGCTCGCTCAAGTTCTCCCAATCCAACCGAATGCCCGATCCCAAGGACCCGTCTCGCATTGTCACCACCACCACGACCACCACTTTCTCCATGGCCAAGGAAATGGCCCGCTCCGTTTGCCAACGCTTCCTTGATGCCCGGTTCATCGAGACCGTGGATGGCAAGCTGACCATGGTCTTCCCGCTCAAGGGCGCCCTGTTCCAGCTCACGCCCAAGGGTATCAACATCCTGCAGCGTTTCTGCCAGCGCAATGGTATCACTGCGCGCCACGTCATGTCAGTCCTGGAGTCACCACGCAACACGATGCAGTTGGTTACCCTGGAGCGCGATGTCGAGACCGACAAGCTGTCACCTGATCGCGCCACGATGGAGGTGATCTTCCGCCGCTTCGCCGGCCAGGATGGTCCCAACATCAAGAGCAGCATTTCGACCTCGGACTCGGATTCGCTGACCGATTACGTCAACGGTATGGTGGGTGTGAAGATGGCGCGCGAACGGAAGCTGCAGGATGGCAAGATCTACACCAACACGTTTATCGGCAAGGCTGCGGTGGATTGGCTGATGGATTGCTCAACCACCATCGATCGCCGGGAAACGTGCCTGATTGCCGAACTCTTTGTCAAGTACGGCTTGATCACAATGATTCAGGATGACAAGTCATTCCCCGATTCCGGGAATGCTGTTTTCCAGCCCTCTAAATACTCGGTCTACGGCATCACCGAACGTGGCCAGCGCGTGTGCGGGTGGATTGCTCGTGACAAGAGCCGCGATACCAACAGTGGCTACGACAACCGAGGAATCCCGCGCGACTCGAACAACTCCCGTCTGACGCATATCCTCCAAGACCCGGCTCTTCGCCTTCTTTTCCGGGAATTTCTCCGCTACTCGCTGTGTGAGGAGAATCTGTCTTTCTATATCGACGTGTCGGAGTTCACGGCCAACTACCACAAGGCGGAGAAGATTGGTACATTCAACAAGGTGGACTCGGTCCGAGAAACCCTAGCCGCAGCCTATGGCTTGTACAACGCTTTCCTGGCCCCTGGGTCGCCTTGCGAGTTGAACATCGACCATGCTTTGCGCAACAGCCTGGCTGGTCGTATGACCAAGGCCGTGGGAGATGACGAGTCGATGTTCAAGAGTCTCCAGGAGGTCGTGAATCTGTTCGAGCTTGCCCAGAACTCGGTCTTCAAGTTGATGGCTAGCGTAAGTCTTTTTTTCTTCTTCCCAATTATATGGTGCTCACTAACTTTCTTCTTCAGGACTCTGTACCGAAGTTTATGCGCGATCCCAAGTACGCCGTTGTCCTCCAGGAACACGACGTGGATATCTCCTCTGCTCGCTCATACTCGCCCACTCAGGGCCTCCCGGAGCGTACCATGAGCCGGTCGGCCCGGGCGTGACGCGTCCCCCGTGGTCAGCGTTGACATTCTGGACAAACCGGCCTCGCCCCACGGCACTGTATCATCGTCTCCCAGCACACCTTTTGGGCCAGTCGAGATCCACTGTTCCGGTGATCCGCCCTCACCTCCGTCACGACCGACACGACACGCTGCCTGTCGAACAAGCACCGACGGCTTACCATACTCTTACTACCCACCCGTCACGAGATCGATACATCCTCGGCTCGCTCCCCTGACGAAAGACATTACGATCGATGGCTCATGTTATAGAGAAGGCCGGAACCTGGGAAACATCTTGTAATATTTGGAACGACGTTTTCTCTCCCTTTCTTCAACCCGCATACGTTGGAAGCTCCTATTCACGGAGGAAGAAAGATTTGACTAAAAAGACGAAAACAAAACATCAACACATCCAAGACTGGAGGATTATCTTTCTTTTGGATCTCTCTACTACCGAGCATCGGAAACGGCGTTTTCTTTTTATTTCGCGTTGTGTTTGGTGTTCTCAACACTGTTTGTTCGTCTGCATTGCCTGCCTTATCTGAGCTTTGATTTGAGCACCTTTTTGCCTTTTCATACCACTTTCTATTCCATTTCCATTTCCATCTCCTTTGTCTCATTTGCATCTCATTCTTTATCATTTTCCTTCAGCACAGCGTGTGAGTTCTGGCTTCTTTTTGTTTCTAGCTCGGTTCCGTGTGGAATTAATTGCAATGAACATGACTCAATTCTCAATTCTTATTGGGTTTGGCTTGTAGCAAGTTTCCTGGTGCTGTGGTGCTTACGAGCTAAGTGCCTTGGGTATTCTCCGGTTCGGTATATATGTTTGCAACATGCATGTCATAGTCACTAGTTGCTTGTTTATACAGTTAAGTAGAATAAAGTTAAACCGTCGGGAAGCATATGTGCAAGGTGTAAATAGAGTTGAAATTGATAGATAGACTGCATCAGGACCTACACATACAGTACGTGGCGTAACGTCTATTATACACACCTACTAATCTACAACCCTAGGACAATTGCTGTGTCTTAAAACTTTGTTTCGCTGCTTAAATTTCTGCAGTTTTCCCACATGAAGTCAATAAAGTCCATTTTAATTTTCATTGTACAGAATAAAATCTTCTATCGGAAGCGAAGCAGAGTAGAATAGAAGAAGCCCTGGGGAGGTAAGAAGAGTTCACACAGCAAGACAACGCCAGAACCCACGCCTTGAAATATAACATGTCGTAAATCGAGAATTGGGGGGAGAAAGGGAAACAGATGCAAGATTGGGCAAAAAAAAAAAAAAAAAAAAGAAGCTCATTTCGGTCCCCATCCATGCAGCTTCATGCTCTCCTCAATAGTCGACCAGATGCCCTCGACAATCTCATGGTCTCTCCAGCGGCCAGGACCATGCGGCCCGCCCTTCTCATCCCAGCGGTCAACGGAGAAGCTCTTCACGCCACGACCCCATCCCTTGACTTGGCTGGGGACTTCCTCGCCGGCCCAGCCGATATAGACACCAGTCGCGTGCTTGAAAAGATCCGGGGGCGAAGTCCACTTGTAGGACTTGAACTGCCAAGTCTGGCCGGTGGTAAACACAGCGACAAGCCGGTTCCAGTACTCGGGTCGGAAATTGGCGGGGCTGTCGGCGACGATGAACCGCGTGGGCTTGCGGGGCTTGCCGGCGGAGGAACCGATTGCGGCGCCTGCTGAGGCGGATGGGTCGGCCATGATGCGCAGGGGGCGGTTGATGTAGAGGAAGTTGGGGGCGTCGGTCATGCTTAGGGTTGGGTGGTCGGGCGGCACGAAGACGCCGTCTTGGAGGAAGGATTTGATGTTTGACATGCGGATTAGGGAGGAGGCAGATGGGGAGAGGAGGATGATTGGGTCGGGTCGCGAAGACGAGCCGGACTTGCGAGATGACGAGGTCATGGACAGGCCTGCGGACGGCGCGGGCACGACTTGGTTCTTGCTGCCTGGTTTGGCGCCGGCCTGCCCGGCCCGATTGCGGTTGCGATCCAGGAAGATTTCCGCGCTCTTGCGGACGTGTGAGAAGTCCTGCTTGGTTGTTAGATTGTATGTGGGTGTGGTTATGGCCTGGAAACAAAACTCACCGTCGGCTTGATGCCCCGTAGCACCGTATTACGATCCCCCGTCTTCCGTTCTCCATTGTAGATCTCCTGCAACCGAGGATCGATAGGCTTCTGCGCACGACCAGCCTGAGCTCCGGCCTGTGCGGCCGGCGCACCGCTGGGCACCGAAGAAATGCCCCCAGTTGCGCCGGAGGCAATACCAGCCGAAGCGTCCGCCTGCGCAGCACCAGCAACGGCAGCGGCAGCCTCAGCGGCAGCGGCAGCACCCTCGAGAGGCTTGATGTACTCGCTCTCATCAGAGGCGCCCTCTAGCCAGGTGATGAGATCGAGACGCTCGACGAAAACCAGGTTCTGCACCACCTCCTCCTTGCCCGGCTCCTGGCCCTCCTTCTTCTTGAGTTCTTCGTTCAGCTCCTGCGCCGAGGCAATGTAGTCCGGAATGGCGACATCTTTCTTCTGCCACGCGAAAAAGATGCTGCGCAGGTCGACGGCCGAGTCGGTGGATGCGGATACGAAGCGCGTCGCTGTGTTTAATGCGATCACCTGTGGAATTGGCTGGGAGAAGTACAGATGAGTCGCCTCGGCCAGATTGTCGGTAGCTGGCTGGTCGCTGAGCTCGGACGAGGTCGTCGGCGTGGGAAGGCTGCCGGCTGCGATGGCGCGGCGGAGCGAGAGGAGGGGATCCTGGGACGCAGCATCGGAAGCCATCGTGGAGATGAGAATGGACGATGGCCCTGAAGCAGAGGCTGCAATGAAGGTGGTTGGGAGGGTGCAGCTTCTGCTGTTGAGGGTTGCGCGAATGACACCTTTTGGCGGATCGCAGTGAATGAAGCGGCAGGTTAGATCACGTGGTTAGTTTTCGATCTATACGGCATTCACTTCTTTGACTACCGGATGTCGTTGGTCTGGGTGAGTTTCATGTGATACTGCTGCTATTTACTATTCCTCACATTTCAGCTTAATATATCTCACGGACCAGCTGTAGTGCTGCATAACCCCGCCTCAAACGACCAGACGCACCCCAGTGCTGATATACCGCCACATCCAGCTCCACGCACCAAGAAATGCCGTGATGCCCGTGAAGAGAATGAGAGTTCCATACTCAGTGCCAAATCCAGTATCGCCATGGCCATGACCACCAGTAAGAGAACCCTTTTGGATCAGCGCCGTGCTCAGTGGCCCACTGATGACATTCCCAATGCCCCGGCCCCCGGCCAGAAGGCCAAACACCAAACCTGTCTCCAGGGATGGTGAAGAGTCACGCTTGATCTGAGTGATGACACCAGACCATGTAGAGCTAAACCCGCCGGCAAAAAAGCCATAACAAATGGAGAACGTGATTAGGAGGCCCATCGCTGTTTGCGAAGAGCCGGGCTCCTCAGACCCTGCCATGCCCCAGAAGAGTATCACAGACAGTGCCGAGCCCACAGATGACAAAAGCATAATGTTTGTTACAGAGAAACGATCGCAGAGCATTCCCACTGCAATCCCGCCGACAACGGACGTCGCGTTGAAAAGGGAAACGAGCAATGTGCCAGTCGTCTGGGACAGACCGACGGTAGTGGTGGAGTATGAGGGGAGAAATGTCGAGGGTAGGAAGTATCCGAAGCTCTGGATGACATTCCCTGCTTGCAACATCCAGAAAGTGGTCAGTTTCAAGAAGCTAAGGTCCAGGGGACGGGCGGACGCAGATGTTGACACTGGAATCCGCGGCTTCATGAATGGCAAAGCCATAAGTGAAGTCACCAACTAGATGGAATGTCAGCTTGATGATACTGCATTGTCAAGTATCATCCTACCGCGGTGACAGTCCATGCCCTCAGCGTAGTTCTCGAACCAAAATTGTCCAGACAAGCACTGGCAACGAAGGGCATCGCCAACCCAGCAAGACTCTTCGCAGCCCACATGACCCCCAGCGCGAGGCCTTTCCGGCGCACAAACCATTGATCGAGATAGAGGGATGACGGACTGAATAGGAGCGCATTGCCGACGGCGCACATAACCCCCTGAGTGGCGATTAAATGCCACACCTCAATGGCGAAGGAGGACAACAATGACCCGAGAACGGTGATAACAATACCCGCGGGAGCACAATAAAACTGAAGACGGGGGTACCGAGTCAACAGCGTGAAAGTGACGGGTGAGAGCAGATATATGACCCCCTAGTCTGGAGATCAGAATGTTTCCTGGTCTGGAGAGTTTCTCTGCATACAGTAGAGGTAGTTCCCACCGCCGCCAGGTCGCCTTTGCTTCCCTTTAGCACGCTATGGGTGTAGTAGTATTCCTGGAAGACACCAAAGGCAAGAGAGAAGCCTGCTGCCGTTAGTAATTTGATTGGAACCATGAGGTCCTCTCAAGACACACCCCATACGGGCAATTGAATGAGACATATCGAAGCCAGCATCAACCAGGCAGCTTTGCCTCGATCAGCTGGCGCTAGTGCGGGCTGTTCGATCTCGGGAGTCATTTCATGGAATGATCGACGGGATGAGATGTCATCCAGCGACAAGGAATCGGGTTCCGAGGCACTCATAGTGAATGAGGTAGGCTCAGCAGTGGCCTTGAGTGTTCAAGTTTGCATTGAAAGAGAAGAAAAAGTCTCACCGATCGACCCCTCTTATCGCCAAGTTTGACTCATCGACCATGACCTCATATAGTTACAACATTTCACTCAATTGGCTGGAGGAGAGGGAATATGCATCAATCTCTCTAAGCTAAATCAATGCCTTGCAATGATCTTAAAAAATCCGAAATACAGTGAATCAACCATCCTTGCCAAAAAAGAGCACGCGATCACTTTCCTAGTTGGAAGTGTGTAAACTCCTTCCGTATTACAGCTAGCCACTCGCCGCTTTTTGTAAGGGAAGCATGTTATTATTATTTTAATAACCTGCAGAAACTCTTACAGAACAACTACTTGTTTTGTTTTGGATATACACTGGTTCGCTGTTTAAGGCGGGAAGTAATTCCTCGCCGCTCACGGAATATGTATTCCCGCAGATGTTGGGGCCGTAACTTGATTTCTAATCACAAATGAATGAATAGTTATAAACTAACAATCAAACTTGTAGTAGAGTCTCTTCTCTTTGCGTCACTTATCACATATCTAAAATGGCGCCTTCCAAGTTACTTCTCACCGGAGCAACTGGCTTTATGTCCGTCCAGCCAGTCAATCCCTAGTATTTGACTGATAAATGTCTACAGAGGAGGAATAGTCTTGCGCCGGATACTCGACACCACTGATCCGGCACTCAAATCCCTATCCATAACAGCCGTTGTGCGGCGGCCTGATCAAGCAGACCTTCTTGCCAGTAAAGGAGTTCAAACGGTGCTCGTGAACGACCTGGGTAATGCAGATAGATTAAAGCAAGTGGCAAGCAGCCACGACATTGTTGTGAACGTAGCCTCGGGCCATCATTCTGATGCTCCCAAGGCACTTATACAGGGTCTTCAAAAGAGGAGGGAAGAAACAGGAGCCGACGTCCACTTTGTACACGTGAGAGACCTGATGAGACCTAACGAGAATATACTAAACAGAAATTTAGCTCTCTGGGACAACTAACATCGCTGTGTCATCACTTACCAAGTCTCCGTTTGAAGTGCAGACATTCTCTGATAAAGACAACATCTATGAGTATGAGCTGCTTCGCGAAGCACACCAAGCATACGGCCAACGGACCGCCGATGTCAATATTATTCAAACAGGTGAAAGCGCAAATGTGAAGACGTACATCGTGATGCCACCTTCAGTCTATGGCCGTGGCGATGGCTGGTTCAAACGACAATCACACCAGATCCCAACTTTGATCAGAAATGCAATCGCAACAGGTTATTCGGAGCATATTGATGCGGGAACAACGAATTCTGGCCATGTTCACGTGTCCGATCTTTCGAGTTTGTATGCGCTGCTATTGGAGAAGATTCTCTCCGGCGGAGATGTTCCTTTCGGCCGCAACGGGTACTACTTCTCGAGCACCGGGTCTCATTCGTGGCTTGGTGTGGCGACGCAGATAGGAAAGGTGGGGTTTAACCTGGGCGCTTTGCAATCGGCAACCCCGAGGTCAATCAGTCTTAAAGAGGCAGCTGTAAAATTGGCCGATGGAGATCCTAAGTTCGCCGAGGCATGCTTCTCGTCCAAGTAAGCAACTGGATCGCCCCTCACCAGAGGACATGTAAGCTGACTGGTTGAGCAGTTCTAGCACTAAACCTGAAAAGGCTTATGAGTTGGGTTGGAAGCCAGCTAAAACCGAACGCGATTTCGAGACTTCTATTCAAGAGAGCTTTGAAGATCTACTGAGTGGGGTTGTGTAGTCAATGGGAGCGTGATATGCGTATAGCATGGAACTAGATATATGATGGTCGCTCACATGAATACATCAATTGTATGAGTAACCCCATAGGAGCGATGAGAAATTCCCAGTTGGCAATCATCGCACAGACGAGGCGTTTTCACAGCTTGCTCGGCATATTATTACCTCACATATCTCCAGAATTCGCGGTCGTCGGTCGACCTATTTGGGAACGGAGTTGCTCCCGGGACTATTTTGGAAGGCAACGGATAATGTCTCGGATGATTGGTCAGCCTATTATAGTCAGACGACGCTGCCTCTCTTGCCCTTTTACCTTTTACCCAGCAGTATTTATAAGACCAATTGACAATGCTTCTCCAGTAGCTCACATCTTTTTGACTTTTGGATAGAAAAGCAACAGCACCAAATATGCCCGCCGCAAAATGTCAATATACTCTCAGTGAGGAGCAAAAACAACACTGGCTCAAACATGGCTTCATCAAAGTTCCTCAGTGCTTCACTCGTGAAGCAGCGGCGGAATTCACCTCCTCAGTCTGGACTCGTCTAGGGATCTCGCCCACTGACAAGTCAACCTGGGTGGAGGAGAAGGTGAACATGCCGGGTCACACCATGATCAGCGTCGAGGAGTTCGCTCCCAAAGCGTGGCACGCCATCTGTGAGCTGGTTGGTGGAGCAGACCGAATAGTTGACTGGTGCAAAGATTGGAAGGATGGTTGGATCGTGAATATGGGCAAGCCAGAATACAGTCCGGAGGACGATTTGGATCTTCGGTCTTTGGATAATTGGCACAATGATGGGGACTGGTTCATTCATTTCCTGGATAGTCCTGAGCAGGCACTTTTGGTTATTCCGCTCTTCAGCGATATTAAGCCTAAGGGGGGCGGGACTGCGATCTGTACTGATGGCATTGGGCTGGTAGCTGATCATCTGGTATGTTCTTTTCGGACAATCTCACTCTATTGCAGTCTAACCTGTAGGATGATTTAGTATAACCACCCCGAGGGCACATGGCCGTCCCTCATCTCTCGCAACGCCCCGAATATCCCAACGGAGGAGACCCATTGCTGGAAACGCTGGGCTAATTCCTCAACATATACAAAGGACGAGTCCTTCCACGAGGCTACTGGGGAAGTGGGAGATGTCTTTCTCCTCCACCCATTCATGCTACACTCTGCTTCTCGCAACCTGCGACGCGACATCCGCATCATTACCAACCCGCCAGTCGCCCTTAAGGAGCCTTTCAACTTCAACCGCGCAGATGGCCGGTACAGCCTAGTTGAGCAGAAGACCTTAAGAGATCTAGGTAGGCCCAAGGGTCTGCCCGAGTGGAAGACTACAGGTTCGAGGGAGCTTCTTGCCCCGAACCGCATAGAGGTAAGTTCACCAAGGTTGAGATATTGCGTTGATTATGGTAACTAAAACTTCTTTATAGATACAATCAAAAATGGCTCGTGAAGAATTGGAACGGATAGAAAAAGCAGGTGAACCTATCACTACCCTGGCCGGCGTTAAGCCTGTGGAGTACTATCCGTCATGATTTCGGCCATCTTCATATACCGTCTCACTTTGGTCTAGCAATATTTCCTTCACCTGATACCATGAGAATGATATAAAAACAAGCCACACGGCAAAGAAATGAAGAATTGTACCGAGAGAAGTGAATGGCACGCTCGTGCCTAGAAACAATTAGCCTGATCTGCTCTCAATCAAACTTCTTTTGAACTTGATGTTCGCATCGTTGAATCCTAGAAACCTTAAATATCTCTCTCCATTATCATAAATCATATTTCAGTTGCACATGCAGCCCACACATAACAAGAATCACCGCAAGAGACCTTTCGTCCGAATTGCAATAACCCACATACCCCAGCCTGCCCTCTCCAATCCTGGCCAGCGCAACCGGTGTCAATTTCAGACCCTGCACAGTATTATCTAACAAGTCTTCATTTCCCTCGATAGGCGCGCACTTATTTGGCCGGTACCAAGCTTCGGAATCCATGACGTTATCCAAGAAAACAGTCGGTGGGGTGTACGACTCTGACAGAAACCGGCATCCGTCTTGGGGGACGTGAGCCTTGTTCAGGGAAACAGTTGTGTGATGGTCAGGTCCGGTCGTCCAGGAGAGCCCTGCATGCTTGAAGAACGCAGTGAGTTCCTCGGGACTGGAATCCTTCACAACGTCGCCGGTGCAGATTGCAGTGCCTCCGCCACGAACGTATTCCAGTACTGCATCGCGGACCTTTCCGTGCTTTTTGCCCGTGAGTGCTCGATCGGTCAGAAGGACCGCCTTCAGAGGAATATCGGAAAGGATCCAATACACTTCCTCGGCTCGCCATGCTTGTCTGAGATTTGAGACTTTTCCGAAATAGTTGATGAGATTCTTGTACTTGTGGTCAAATGTGTGGGGTTTCTCTAGAGAGATGAGTAGGATTTCTGGTTGACCTTGGGGTGGAGGTGTAGCCATGATGAGGTCTTGGACTGGAGTTGGTAGATGGATGTATTTGATGAATTCGGTCAGAATGGGACGAGAGAGGAGGATCAAGAGTAGGAAGAGTGTGATTTATGTAGGAAGATCATCCACAACATCTTGTCCTACACTGCATGCCGGTTATCCGTGTACTTTGGCACATTTTAGCACATTTGGCACGTTCTCGTGGATGAGCGAGGTATCTTTATTGGCCTAGTAACACAGGGCTACCCGGTAGACATACATGAGAGCAAGTGTATATATGTCCTCAATCGCCAAGCTTGTAGTAGTACACACCATATTTCTAAACCAGACACTCTCTTATCCTTCTTCTATCAACAATCAGCCTTGCTTCGTCAATAACAACCTAGTGGTATACAGCAACGAAAGACATTTATCCAAATATAGGCACATCCTATGATCTTTTGATATAGAGAGAAGAATATAAACATGGTGTTCATACAAACTATCCGATATACCATCTCACGGGAAACAACCACGGGACGATAGTGGGGGAGAGAAGATTGAATAAATAGTTTCACAAAATCATTGAAAGAAGAAGACAAAAAGAAAAGAGGAAAGAGTAGGGGGAGAATAGGAGAGTGAGAACGGAAAAGAGAAAGAAACAAAACCCCCCTGGAGTTCATTTGAGAAAGAAAAGAAACAAGAACAAGAACAAGTCAAGTGCAATGTAGCCACACTCCAGTTTGGCACTTGCAGTCCGCCGAAATAGAACAATCCGTTTGCCCAACCGAATTCGCTTCCTGGTATTTCCGTACCCAACTTCCCAAATCCGATACGCCGAAAAGCAAGAATAAAGAGCATGAACGTCACACAAAAAAAAGTGGCCCTTCGATGAACGCCGGTAAATAAATCAACACTCTCACGATGGGAGGAAAGTTGAACGACTGGTTGGAAGCCACAACACAACATTTTTTGGGAATCGTAAGAACACGTAAATCTCACCCATTACCACCACTAGTATAAAAGGTTCGGAGGGTTCAGGATACGGACGGGACGGGAGGGTACGTCGTCGACTCCGTAGCATCCTTCATAGACACATCGGGCGAGCCGGAAGGCTCGTTCTTGTCGGCGTCGTCAGGCTCTGACTTGGTGGGCGTGGTCTGTTGTGCATTGTCTGCACCGGCGACGGGCCCACTACCGCTACCCGGCGTAGATGGTGATTTCTGTGCCGCAGGGATGGCGTTGGCTTGGGCCTGAGACTTTTCCGAGGTGGGCGTGGTGGCCATCGTGCCTCGTCGAATCAGATAATCACCGAGACTGAGCTTCTTCTTGGCGGGAGTCGGTGTTGGAGCTACAGACCCGAGTGGTGGCTGTCCGGCAGAGTGCGGGGAGGATGTTTCGAAGGTGGTGGGGGATGCAAGGCTCGCTGTGGAGGCGGAACCAGGACTGACGGAGAGAGGCATGGGAGGGAGTGTTGGCGGAGGCATGGAAACGCGCAAATTGCCACGGTTGTCGGGGGTGGTCATCCCAGGGATCCGGGTGTTGTGAGCAGCAGTAGAGGGCCACGGTGGTGGAATCGGTGGCTTCCCAGAGTCTTTCGCTGATTGGGGAGATTCCGATTCAGGCATCACCGACGTGTCTTGCGTCTCCTCATCGCCTTGCGGCGGTTCCGCATCCATCATGGCAACATCAGGTTTGTCATTGAAGGTGCTCGACGACGGAGAGTCAGCTGGCGCCACACTGTCAGAGCCAGCCGACGACAACTTCTGTCGCGCAATCTCCTCAGACCGTAGACGATCCGTACTGTATCGCTTCAAGAGGCGGACTGTCATTGGAACGAAACCGCGCTTGCGACGTGAGTTATCCGGCGTAGACGGCGGCTCATCACCCTCATACACATCTGCTTGTACGGCGGCATCCACGTAGACCGGACGAACGAGAGGAGAACGGTTGAACGGCGAGCTGTTCCCAGATGTCTTTCGAGGAGAAGGGTGACGAGCAACGCCCATCGGTGAAACGGCGGCGGTGGGCGAGCGAGAATGGCCGGTATCCAATTGTAGTGACTTGCCTGAGGCACGATGAGACCCAAAGAATCCCGTTTGCGTTGAGCTGGTGACAGCAGCGGGAGTAGACCCTGCCGATGGACCGCTGGGACGTTTCTTCTTTTTCTTGCCCTGGTCTTGCTCCAGCTGCTGGAACTGCTTCTCGGCATCTGCGATCTTGCGCCGTTCGCGACTGGACAGCTCTGATGCAGCGGCCCCTGCGTCTTGAGCTCCACTTGGACTGAGATCGCGACTACGGGGCTGACCGCGTGCAGACCCAGAGGTGGAACGACTCTCAGCGCCTGGATCATCCTCATCTGGATGCTTGGTCGTCTCGCTGCCTGCCCGGCTGTTGGATGCTCGGCCCGTATCGAGTGGCGAGGCAATTGATTTTGTTTTCTTCTTTCGCTTGCCATTTGCTTGCCTCGAGTCCAAGGATCTCGGGTGTCGCCGGCGATCCAGGGTGGCGAGCAGGCAGTTTTGTGAAGGGTCACATGCACAGCCACCAAAGTTGGCTAGAGCATTGCTGAGACGAACGGCCGCGGCCTCGGTTGCACTATCGCCGGACTCCTGCTTCACCAGTCCATCCGATGACACAGACAGTTGCGGTTCTAGGTACCACATGGTAGTGATTTCCGAGTTCGCGGGGATGTTCTCCTTGGCGACGAAGCAAAAGTGATACTCCACGTCGTTGGTAATGAAGATCTTCAGGGTTGCATTGGCCTTGCAGGAGCGTCGAATGTAGCGGAGGATGCTGCCTTCGTGCCGGCTGTCGATGGTAATGGGTAGGTGGGAGTGGAAGAAGACAAAGGGTTCCGGATGGCGCAATTCCGCCCATCGATTGTTGGGGTCGAGGCAGTAGTCGCGAAGATGGCCGACCTTGCCAGTGATCTCTCCCACGACCTGGCCTTCTTGTATCGGGTTTTGGGTCTTGAGAATCTTCCACATCGGGTGACGGCCATCGATCTCGAGGTTGGGATCGGTGATGGTCTCCGTAGTCAAGGTGGGCCACTGTGATCGGTTCATGGCGACGTCAGACCAGGTAAAGATCTCCTCGGGACGATGTCCACCCGTTCGTTGCGCCAGCGCGTTTGGATCCTTCAACCACAAAGCAGTGTCCCCCACTAGGCTCACATTGACAAAGAGATTGCTGTCCATGTTGACATGGTCGTCATCTTGGTCGTAGAGGTGCATGAACTCATTCGAGTAAAGGGGGATCGAGGGGCCGGAGAATTTGGTCGGGCTTACCGCCATGGAGGTGGAAGAACGGCGCTTGCGCGAGTCCGGCGGAAAGGTCGGAGTGCCAGCCAAAGCACTGATGGATGAAGACGCACGATGTGAGATCTTGGCCTTCTTGCTCGGTGGCTGGTCGCGAGCACTCGACTCACTCCGGAAACCATTCACGTCGCCCTCCTTGTTGATCTTCTTCTTTTGCGAGGACTTGGCACCCGACCGCCGGTTCTTCCGGTCACCGTCTTCGCTTTTCTCTCGAATCCGCCGCTGCCGCTGCCGGTCGGTCGCGCGCCGACTGTCCAGCTGCCGGGGCTCGCAGCCGACGCAGTTGTGCACATCCGGCACTCTCTTGTCGGGATAGTAGCAGACAATGTGCTGCCACGTCTCGCACCCTTCGCAGAATACCGTGCTACCATCATCTTCGTCAAACTGACAGATGCATTTGATGGTGTAGGGCTCTTCTTCGTCGGGCGCGACCGAGTCAGAGACGGCGCCGTTGGCGGCAGGGGATTCCAGAGGCGCGGTGACCGGATACGAATCCGTGGTGGCGTGCGTGATGGCGAGGGAGGAGGTATCTGTCATACTCTGACAGATAGCCCCCTCTCAGGTCCTGACAAGACAAATGTTCTTACAGGGAGGCGCACTCAAACCGTCACCTCTCACAGTGCATGTCAACGACCACGATGCGGGGATGTGTTGTCCGCAGCCTTCCGTGTCAGATCCTGACGCGTCTGGACGTTTAGAGCGGATGGGTGGCAGAGACGAGGGAAAAAGCGCAATACTAAGCGCAGACCGTGTCCCTGTCACCGAAAGTGTGTCCACACTGGAGTTACGGAGGCGGATGACGATGGATCAACGATGGAAATGGGATCGTCGAAATCGGGAGGGAGGGAGAGGAGCGCAGGAGGACCTCGTCAAAAATGCGCCGTCTAGGGTCCTCGGGGGAGGGAGGGAGAGGACAACGAGATCCGAGGGGGTCCGGTGAAGCGTTGGTCTTGAAAGTCGACAGCGACGAGGATCTATAGCGCAGAGGGTGCGATTGGATCGTAATGCGCTGGAGGAGACGAGGGCGAAAAGGGTGACAAATTCGCGTGGAGTGGTCAGAAGAGAGGAGAGAGAAGAAAAGTGAAGGAGGAAAGTGAGTGGGAAGAAGGGAGGAGGGTAGGCACGGGTAGGAGGCGAGAAAAGGGAGAGGAAGAAGGGAGAGCAGAGACTGGCGAGCGAGATTTGGGGCAGGAGGAAGAAGAGGAGCAGGAGGAGGAGGAGCAGACCAGAGAGCGAAAGAGAGGAACAGAGAGAGAGAGAGAGACTAGGTTACGAGGGCCTAAGGCAGCGAAAGCCCAGCGAGTGAACAGCGCGGTGTCCAGTCAGACGCTTGCGATCGAGGGAAGAGGGGGGGATGACTCAGCCATGCTGCAAAGTGCGCAGTGCTGAACTGTGCCCGTGAGTCGGCGAGGCACTAGACCCGGTCGGGGAAGGCGTGGGCCGTCCCGGTGCAGTCACGGGGTCTCCCGCGCTGGACAGTATCTGGCAGGAGGCAGGAGATTAGTCGTCGGTGGTTAGTTAGTGCTGCTGGCGTTAGTCGGGGGGATATGATCATCATGGCAGCTGGTAGGAGCAGCTAGGTTTAGCTGCGGATATTAGTGTAGAACCCGCGGAAAGGGAATCCCGGCTGTGGGATGGTCAGTCCGCAGAGTGAAGCGAAGATGAGTGAGGAAGCAAGCATAATAATAGACTGGGCTGGGTTGAGTGGTGGACGACCCAGTGACACCAGCGGTTTGGTGGCCATCATGATGGCCAGAAAAGAGGGTGCCAAGTAGACGGGCTGCACCACCGGCACTCCTGCGAGGAACTACCAGCCAAGCAAGGGCAGGGCGCTAGGGGAGGGAGAATCAGAGAAAAGAGGAAGAAGAAAGGGAAAGGAGAAAGCACGGTTGATCCATCAAGGGGGGGTTAGGTGAGTGTGGGGAAGGAACCCCTAAAATAAAAAGATCGTGCAGGTGTGGCAAAGAGGTTGAACGGATATGGAAGTACAGGGCGACGTTGGGAGGAAAAGGGAAGATCGGCCAAGTGACGGACGGGGGGGTGGCGCAGAAGGAGGAAGAAAACGAGAGAGAGCGAGAGAGAGAGACAAGAGGGGCAAGTAATGTGTACGACAGATTCAGTTTACCATCATTTTAACTCGGCTGATCAGCCAGACTAACTGAAACACGTGTACCCCATATCCTCTAGGAGAAGGATATTCCCCTCTCGGATTTAACCGTACACTGCATACGCGATAGGTTAAGGATATTCGACTCCACGATGAACAATACACACAATACACACGCAACTCCCGCGAGGATTTCTAGGTACACCGCGCTTCCCAGTTTACTTTCCCCAGTCACGCCCCAACCATCCGCGGGTGCTCTTGCATCTCAAATGAACCCAAAGGATGAAACGGATCTGGAGGGTGCCCATTGACTCTCCTCGGCCACGAACTGGCGTCAACATCCCCACTGGGATGCTCTTCTTCCACCGGCTCATCTGGTCTGTTAATGTCCGCCCACCTCTGTTTCCTCAGCCTCCGCGAATGGAATCGATGTCCCACATACAGGAAAAGAAACACCGGGATCCCCGAGTACGTCGTGATCGCTCTCACAGTTCGCGATTCAGACGCAGTGCTCGGAGCGACCGCATTCAACCCGCCGAAAACAAGCAGGCCAGTACTGGCAAGAATTCCAAATGATGTAGCCATTGGTTGAATGGCGAATCGGTGTCGGGAAGTAATCTCATTGCTCTTCATGCGCTGGCGAAAGCGGCGGTAGACGATGCAGGAACTCAGCCAGGAAATGTACCCAGAGGTCGTGACGAAGCGGAGCAGCCAGTTAAACACCACCGAGCTGGAGCTCATCGCAGATAGAAATGCTACGCCCGTGAACGAGGCGGATGTGGCGACGGCGATCCAGGGGACACCCCAGCGGTTGCGAGATTGGAACATCTGGGGCGCGTGTCCAAGTTCGGACATGGCACACAGAATGCGGGAGGATTGGTAGAGGAACGACCGACCCGAGGCCACGCACGAGAGGAAAATAGCGATGGTCGCCGTCGTGGGAAGAACATTGACCTGTGCCGTCCTGAGGCCGATGACGAAAGGGGATAACCCAGCGCCAGCTCCATGATTGCTCAATTCGGGTTCGTTGAACGGAGCCAGCACGCCCACGGCCACGGCACTCAGGACGTAGGGGAACGCAGTTTGCAACACATCGGCTGCCGTTCTGGAAGGGATGCTGCTGCTCTGGGGCGCGTGGCCGTTCTCGGTACGCTTCGTAGTCTCAGCCAACTCGGAGTTCTCAGCGCGGTGCACGATCAACTCGGGAGCGAAGGTAAACGCGACGGCGGCGTGGAGCAGACACTGTAACAAGCCCAAGAATCGTCCGAGCGATCCGTGCGCCAAGTATTCACGCATCGCGCCAGGGTCTCTCCAGTATTTGAACCCCCACTGCTCGTGACCAGAAGCGCCGCCGAGTCCGATCGACAGGGAAAGAGCGAGGAATGCAACCATTGTGCCGGCCTTGATGTGAGTGAACAGCACTTCGGACATCTTGATGAATCGTTCGGGGAGAAAGTTGGTCCCCACCACAATGGATGTGATCAGTCCCAAGCGTATTATGACATTGTGACCTGTCTGCCATACACCGAGGTTGACCATTGCTGTTGTAGTCTCAAAGGGGACCAGCATCGCCATGGAGTACCACCGGAGCATCGCCGTGGCGAATCCCATGCTGCTGGACACGTACAGGTAGCCGTGGGTCACCATGGTCCCGTGCTCGGAAGGCATGTGGGTGGCGACTTCGGCCACCGTCGTGGCCATGGAGTAAGTGAGAAACGACAGGAAGGCGTAAGAAATGAGGAGGGAGGCAGGCCCGCCCACGGCCAGAGCCTGGCCCGCGCCGATGAACAGGCCGGTGCCGAGTGTTGGGCCAACAGCCATGGCGGGCTAATGATCTGTAAAAATAAGAAAGGGCAGCATGGCAAAGAAGGCGATGCTGGATGAAGAGAGTGAAACAGACTGGGGTGGGAACCCAGGGGTGGGAGTGGTCGTTCCTGCCTCATATACGCATGTGGACACAACACCAAAAACACAACAGGATTGGATGGGTATCTCGGAAAGGGGATGTAGTAAATGGCGGATACTTGTGGATCACACAAGCAACAAAGTTATACAGCGGCGGTCCTCAAGCACAGCCACGCAAGATATCATTGAGATGCCATGTCGGTCTCAGCATACTCAAGCCACTCCCCTGACAAGGACTTCTTCCAGAACCGAACAATTCCATCATCCCCCGACGAGATGAGCGCGTCGCCTGGCACCAAGTCAGCTCGAGGTTCGTTGTAAAGGGAAACCAAAGTACTCACCAGCAAATGAAAACTCCACCTGCCATACATCGAGGTGTTTGCTGTCCACGCAGGCGACCTGCTTGCATGAGTGACGGAACTGCGCATCTCCACTCGCCCGACGGTTAGAGGTGGATTTCGGTGCTCGGTTTGCCAGCGCGGTTCCAATCCCGGACTGTGTCGTTGACCGAATCGATGGCGACTGCGTCCTGGCTTCGGATTTCCGCCCGCTCGCGTTTTGCGAGCCGTGGTTGGTGGCCGTGGTATACACTTCGAAGATGCGAACGAAGCCGTCCTTGCTCCCGCTCGCAATGAGATCGTACCCACGCACGGAGCCATTTGCCCACGAAATGTCTCTTACAAGACCCGTATGGCCATTCAATTCAATGGCATGATAGAACTGACGGTTTGCGTCAGTGCGATAGACCTTGACCGTGTCCATAGCCGCCACGACGAGGGAAAGACTCTTCCGTTCCGATTCCGGTAGGAGGGTGTGCGTGATATCCGTGGGGTCGTGATGAAATTGGACCCGGAAGCTGGTTTCCTCGCCGCGTTCAGGGGCGGCACACACGCGGAATTGGTCGAGGGGTTGCCAGTCCGCCAGACTGTCCGGGCTGACGGGTTCCATGACCATCAAGTAGCCGTCTCGCGTAATCAGAGCCAGCCATGACTCGAGGTCGATATTGCGGAAATCCAGAGAAACGAACGGGTGTCTTTGCGGTGCAGTCATCCGGAAGATCGTCCTAAATCGCCGGCCTGAATTGGGCGGTTGTGTGACATCTTCCTGCCAGATTTTGAACTTCATATCTTCCCCCACACTGCCGATATGCTGGCCTGTGAAGGGACCGTTCCATGTTGCCTAGACTCCACATTTAGTAGATATTGGACATTTTGTCTTCCTTTCTTACGTACATCGCGAATCTCCGCGTCATGGGCCCGCCAGGTGTCTGTCAGCTGCCATTGACCGTCCTTCAGATCCCATACTTTCATGCGATGATCGGATGACGCGGTGACGATGCGATTGCCGTAGAAATTGAATTTGGTCACCGTCACCAGATCGCGATGGCCAGCATCAAAGTCGGCAAATCCGCCAGACATCGCTCCACTGCCCCCGTTGAGGTCCGGGGGTGCACTCTCTATGTTGGGACCTGGGGAAGAGCCAGGGCAGCTGGAGAAAGAATCGATGTATGGACCAGGATTATGATTATGCAAGTGCAATCCAGGCAAGAGTCCCGCGCCCCTTCGTGTGGAGTTGCCCATCGTTGCCGTAGATGGCCTGACCGCTCCCCTGGCGGTGAAGGTAAACACCGGCAAAATAAGACATCTGCTCTACATGAAGCCAGATTGCGAGTGCAACAATGCATCACAACCGCCAATTCTTTCAGGTGTGACCACAATCTCCTGGCTTGGAAGCTGTTCACTCACCATGAACTCTTCTGGCTCTCTTTCACGAACAGAAACATGGCGTCTACTGCTTCTTGCGGGGGCCAGCGTCGGCATTCTGGTAAACACCGTCCAGGGCGATGGGGCGCCCCTCGTGGCCTCCATTGCGTTGAGCGGACTCACTTTCGCCCTGGGGTTTAGTCTGGTGCGATGGCTTGGGCCAGTGTTTTTGAAGGCTGGCCTGAAGGGGAAAGACATGGCCAAGCCCCGGCGGCCTGAGATGTATGTATACAAGTTCTAGGCAGGCAGTGTGGACCGCAGCATTGACTTTGGATGCCTAGACCAGAGACAATGGGAGCCGTCTGTGCGGTCGTGTATCTGCTGTCGCTGATTGTTTTTATCCCATTTGCCTTTTACAAAGACATCGTCGCAGCAACATCCGGTGGAGGAAATCGCGATGTCGTGGTGGAAGTCCAGCATGTTGAAATGGGCCGGTACCTTCACCGATTCCCCCATGGCAAGGTTTGTATCTCCTGCTTTCCCTGGGTCATTGGTTTGTTAATATTTTAGGAATAGCTTGCTTTATACCTGTCGGGTCTTCTTTCCCTGCAATCCGTCGTCATCCTGGGAATTGGAGACGACCTGCTCGACATCCGCTGGAGACACAAAGTCCTGATTCCTGCATTCGCCTCTATTCCAATGCTGATCGTCTATTTCGTGGATTTCGGCGTCACCCACGTGGTCGTTCCGGTACCGCTCCAGCGCTACCTGGGTGACTTTGTTGATCTCGGATGGTTGTACTACGTGTACATGGCCGCAGTTGCTATTTTCTGTCCCAATGCCATCAACATGCTGGCGGGTATCAACGGCATTGAAGTGGCTCAATCGCTCGTGATTGCGGTTCTGCTTCTTTTCAATGATGCCATGTACCTCGCGCCCATCACGCCATACCCGCACCCGGCTACCGACTCACACCTGTTCTCAATCTATTTCCTGTTGCCATTCATTGGTGTGTCAGCTGCACTCCTGTGCCACAATTGGTACCCTTCCAAGGTGTTCGTGGGCGATACCTATTGCTACTTTGCCGGCATGGTGTTCGCCGTCGTGGGCATTCTTGGGCACTTCAGCAAAACCTTGCTGCTATTGTTCATCCCGCAAATCTTCAACTTCCTTTACTCGACACCGCAACTATTTAAAATCATTCCGTGCCCTAGACACCGACTGCCGAAATTTAACGCTGTGACCGGCCTGTTGGACGCGTCTGTGACGGAGTGGACCATCCCACCATCTCCGCTGGTTGCCGCGGCACTACATCTTCTGCACAAGCTGCGACTGGCGCGCATCACTACCAATGAAGATGGTCAGATTGTCGAGTCAACTAACCTCACAATTCTTAATCTGTGGCTGGTCTGGATGGGACCAATGAAAGAGAACCGACTTGCATGGCACATGGTGATGGTACAGACCGCGTGCGGCATTCTTGGTTTGTTCGTGCGGCACCGCCTCGCGTTACTCGTGTTCCACCATGATAATAGAACGTTTGGGCTTGTTTAGAGACTTATGGAACTCCAGAACGGGTGTATTTGATGTACATATACTCTAGTCTACTGAACCAAACATGGACGTCTCGAAGAGTCTCTGATCATCTTTATACTATATCGCCAAAAGTACCCGAAGCACTTACTTCTTTTTCATTCGCCGTCAGAAGTCTCCCGCAAACCGCGTGTCTCTCTATCCACCTTCTTGTCTCCAAGAATTGTCCCTATCTCTCTGACGATGAGCCATGCGGGCAGGATGGCGACAGCCCAAAGACCGAAGTTGAGATAGACATCTCCCACAGAAGCCATGATGTTGATGCTGCTCAGCCCATACTGTATACGTCTCATTAGTATCATCAACAACACTTTACAGAAGAAACAAGGAGAACGTACGCTGACAGTCTGAGCGGCAGACTCGGTCCCACGCAACAAGCCAGCAATCCGAACAACTTCTTCGTGGTCGTCCGCCAGATTGCCAGCGAGGAAGAACCTATTCATTAGCATATTAGCAAAATTTCGGCCGAGGCCATGATAGAGTCCCATACAGAAACATATAATTGAGCTGAAATCCAGCAACCCAGAATAAGAACAGGGCAAAAGCCTTGCCAAACCCGTCGTCGGTCCAGTCATAGACCGGATTTGTCTTCTGGAATTCTGTCGTCACGATCGATGCCCAGGTCCAGCACATCCCTTGCCAGGCGACGACAAAGACAAACGCAGACCGAGTCCTTGTTTTCAATGGAATCCTTTTGCTGTCAAGGTACGCGCCGAGGAGATTGCCTGCTATCAAAGCAATTACACCCGATAGAAAAGAGCCAAGCGCTCTCGCCCGCACCGTGAACCACAACCCCTCGTAGCTGAACATCACAGCCTCGGTGTAGACCGCCTGACAGATAAACGGGATAATGAGCAAGAATTTCCGGCTGATCCAAAGCTTTGACATTTGCTTAATCTCAAACCAGGGGCTATTCGTGACCTGGAGCTGAACCGGAATCCCGTCTTTCCGCTGAACCCTGGATGGTTTGTTCAGGAGCAGCCCGGCAAATGGACCCAGGGCCTGCAGCGCAATGAAAACAAGGTAGACGGCGTATGATACACTGCCTTCTGTGCCGCGATTGGCATTGATTCCAAGACTGATGATGCCACCCATGATTTGTCCCCCGACACGGAAACTGAGCCAAAATCCCAAGAACCGTCCCTGGTTGTATGGCTCCGGATAAGCGAGTGCGATGGCCGCCTCGGCCATCCAGAAGATTCCAGCAGATATACCGCACAGCGCTGCGCCCAATATAACCAGCCATGTATCCCCGAATCGGTTGTTGGTGTAAAGGCCGGCCGCGTAGGGCGCGTATCCCATTGTGCCCAAAATCAATGTCCATTTGATTCCAATGAGACGTACGACGACACTTGATAGGAAACAAGATACTACCATCAGACCAAAGGTTAATGCGTTTGCCGCGTTGACCAGGTAGGGCTTCTCCTCTCCTCCTCCGCCGAGTGAGTTCATGGCCCCCCAGATGCCGGGGGCCAGGAAGTTGCATAGTCCAAGGATAAGAGCATTGTAAAAGGTTGAACGGTACCATTTTACTAAACTGTCAGCCTTTTTTTATTCTCGGGCAGTTCCAATTGTCAACTTACCTTCTCGCCGTTCAGTGCTTACACCATCCGAAGAAGAATCGCCATTCACCTCCTCATCACTTGGAGCAATGTCTTTTTCCAAGTTCGCCATATGGAAATTTATTCTGATTTTGGTCCGATATGTATGTCAGGTGGCGGCACAAGCCTTATTTTATTTCCAAAAAAAAAAAAAAAAGAAAGAGAAAATGACAATGTGGTTAACCAATCTATATCATTAGCTGCTAGATGCTTTTGACTTTTCTCTAATCCATGACACGATATGGCAACATCGGCAGTTTCTCGGCTGCCTTCCCTGTTCTGGGCCCTGACATTGATCTGCAAGAATCGTTGTCAATGCTTAGATATTGTCGTCGTTCTTGCCCGCGATTACGTGCTGGCACGGAGGCCAAGGCGACACGAGTCATGCAGGATGATTATTCGGCGGATTGTTTGGGAATCGCTGTGTAGCTCTGCATCATATATATTTTCCATAACATTCGATAGGCTGTCAGGTAGGGTGCTTGTTCTCGGAGCAGATGTATCTGGGGTCTGGCGTGGTTGACAATCGTGGTCCCACGTTAGCGCTTTAATCTACGAGATTCACAGGCTAGTTCAGCTAGAACCAAACGACGGTGTAAGTTGAAAGGATGGAAAAAAAAGTGAAAGACGCTGAATACTCCAAGAAAATTAAATCTAAATATTCGCTTCCAGATCTCCTGGAAAAGTTGATCCGTCAATGCCATGGCGCAGCTTAATACGTACGTACTCATGAATCTACCCAAATGTGGACCATCCAAACAAGCCACATCAAGAATTACGGATAATAACGCCTTTTTGTTGTCGCGGGACCTAGTCCGTAAATGTTTCTGCAATCAGATGCACTCGGGATTTGGTCGCTTTTAGTCAGGTCGCGGCAGACTCGAGCCAGTATTAAGCACCTCAGGTTTCGTCATCACAGCCCCTGATCACATCAATCCCGGTCAATGACAGCCCCTTCACATTCACTTTTTTGCTTTTGCTGACACGTATTAGGCCAGCTTCTCCAGGTAAATGCACATTAACAAGCCTCAAGCTCTCTGATTATCAAGATTAGTGTGTTTATTCGGTTTTCGCATCTCATGTCCAGAGTATATTCGTGTTAGAGACACCATTCTCTAAACAGCCCCAGAATAAACGTACACATAGGATTCCGCTTATGATAAGGTTTGATCTACCGTTTCCTCTTCGAGTCTTCCAACCAGATTTCATCATCACGCCATCCTGGCCCCGCCATGAGCAATGAGAATCACACTGACCACGCCCCAGACGCATCGGAACCTCTTAATTGCGCAACAGGCAGACGATATGCCCCTCTCTAGCCTGAATCTGCTAGATGGGTCTCGAAGCCAAGCGCTGAGTGGAGGTGACGCGAACCCTACGTGCTTCAGCGAAGGATTGATATCACTGCCCGCCCGCCCTAGTCTGTGGCGAGCGCCCCTTGGCTTGCTATTATTTCTCTCGCCCGAGAGACTGTCCTGGCTATGTAACCCATCATAAATTATAGATATAGAAAGTGGTTAGGGGGTTTTCTCTGTTGTGTTTGTGATTTTGTATTATGGCTCTACTGGCTCCACGCATCATGTCGACAACAACTTCTACGTACCTTCAGCTCCAGGAGAAGCCTATGACTTTTCATCGTGGATTTTTTACTACTGAGGAACAGTCAAATGTCTCCAACTCAAAACCAGAAGAGACGGCTTCTGGGAGGCAGCTAGTTGAGACAAAGCAGACGGTGTTGCTTCTGAAAGGAGTCCGCGAACAGTATACTTTGGTCAACGATCATGATATTCCCTCTGTCTCTAATCCCGGCGAGGTACTTGTCAAGGTATGACAATTATTTTTCATGCAGGTTATCGTGTTCTAATACTTTCTCGGCAGGTTCTTGCAATCGGTCTGAACCCCATTGACTGGAAGGCACCGTATGCAATTCCCAGACCATTATCATTGCGACATTTAGTTGCTAATCCAATATCTGCAGAGCATTCAACTTTGGCATTCCTAGGCTGCCATGGATCAATGGACGTGATCTGGCCGGGCAGGTGGTGCAAGTCCCCAGCGACAACTCACGTCTCCGGGTCGGCGACATTGTCCTCGTCCCGTCAACAGACTACAGAGATATTCGCAAAGCTGCGTTCCAAGAATATGCCATCACAACCCACTACAATGCGGCGCGAATTCCATCCACAACGTCGATTCACGCCTCAGCCTCTGTGGGAGTTGCATTTGTCGCTGCCGCATTGGCGTTGGGTGTCTCGTTTGGAGTAGACTTCTCAACTATTTCACAGTCTCCTGGTCCTAATCTGGTTAATGTCGTGAATCAACTCAATCGAAATGATGTCCCAGAAGATATTCGAGAAGAATGTTTCTCTTCTATCCGGGAAACAGAACGACCACAACGCGGCGATTGGCTCGCCATCTGGGGTGGTATGTTGATCCTCGTTATTGTCAAATCTATTTCCACGCTGACTGGTATTCTTGAAGCATCAACAACAACTGGACTGGTTACTCTCGAGCTAGCCAAACTGGCCGGACTACGGGTTATCTGCATCGCCGACGCTGCGCGGTACGGGTCTAAGCTCCTCGCCGCCGGTGCAGATGTCCTAGTTGATCGACAGAACCCTGATCGCGCTGTGGATGTCATCCGCGGCGTGACTGACGGAAAACTGCGTTATGCAATGGACATCGTGGGAAGAGACACCGCGACTCTACTTCAAAAGACACTCGATCTCACAGGCCATGCACATCTTTTGGGACTTACCGGTCTGCCTAAGGAGAGAGACGAGAGAATCCGCTATCACACCGTTCCAATTAAACTCTTCCATGAATCACCGAAGGTGGGAGAGAGTCTGGTGTGTTGGCTGGAGAACTTACTACAATCAACAACACTCACGTTGCCGGACATTGTTCAGGCCGATGGGGGACTGGAGGGCATCAATGCCGCTTTGGAGACGCTTCGGGATGGCTCGGTGTCCGGCAAGAGGATTGTAATGGATCTGGGTTCTTCTCGCTCATGATTTCTGTTTGATCTTTCTATTCTGTACATAGATCAGCTCGGCCTAGATGATAACGTCTTTTCTTTGTTCTCCATACTGCCTCGGCGTTGAATTAGTTAGGGTTGTATACATCCCCCATCGGCTCCCCGCCTAAACCATTCAGGCACGGCGCATGCATCCAATTAGGGCTCGAGCATTAGGCTGTGTCACCCCCGGAGTCGGTGTCTATAGGTCATGGCCGCTGCATGAATTTCATTCATATCGACTCTTAGTCTTATTGTGAATCTGCTAGAGGCCGAATGATGACCTTTTTAAGGTCTCCATCATACAAAATAAATTCGACAACATGAAAATATCAACGGGCAAATATAACAATCAGACATTGCCCATGGTACCACTATAGTCCTAGAGTCACTGACTAGAGCCGCCACTAGCCGGCAGGCCGCTTGGGGCCGACATCGGGGCTCCCCTGTTTGCCACCGCAACCAATCATGCGCCACCCATTCGCCGCTGACCGACCGAGATCGGGGCTGCCCCTCGACTGGCCGGACTGCGACATCGCGGTTGCTGCAGAATAAATTCCTCCTGTCTCTCCTCATTGCTCGAGTCGCAACATTCCCAACTCCTCCAATTCTTCATTTCGCCATGCCTTCCGCAGAGACAAAGCCGAAGACCTTGTACGATAAGGTCTTCGACGCCCACGTCGTTAATGAGCAAGAGGATGGCACTGTCCTGCTCTATATCGGTATGCCGCTCTTTGTATAGGTCAACCCCCTGTCCCTGTCTAACCTGTTCCAGACCGGCATCTTGTGCATGAGGTGACCTCACCAGTAAGTATCCAACAAGTCCTGTGTTTTTGGGGTGAACGTACGCTCACTTTCTTTCTCTAGCAAGCTTTTGAGGGTCTGAAGAACGCCAGCCGCAAGGTCCGCCGGCCGGACTGCACCTTGGTGACTGTTGATCACGTATGTTACACGCTCTGTCAATCATAGACCTTGGCTAATGTATTGTTGGCATCCAACAGAACATCCCCACGTCGTCGCGGAAAAACTTCAAGAATGCCGAGCAATTCATCGAAGAGACCGACTCGCGTCTGCAATGCACAACCCTCGAGGAGAACGTCAAGGACTTCGGCCTGACCTACTTTGGCATGGGCGACAAGCGCCAGGGTATTGTTCACATCATTGGCCCCGAGCAGGGCTTCACCCTGCCCGGCACCACTGTCGTCTGTGGTGACAGCCACACCTCGACACACGGTGCTTTCGGCGCCCTTGCCTTCGGTATCGGTACCAGTGAGGTCGAGCATGTCCTCGCGACCCAGACCCTCATCACTCGCCGCAGCAAGAACATGCGCATCCAGGTCGACGGCCAGCTCCCGCCCGGCGTCACCAGCAAGGATGTCGTCCTCCACATTATCGGTGTCATTGGAACCGCCGGTGGCACTGGTGCCGTTATTGAGTTCTGTGGATCCGTTATCCGCGGCCTGAGCATGGAGGCTCGTATGTCCATGTGTAACATGTCGATCGAAGCTGGTGCGCGTGCAGGCATGATTGCGCCAGACGAGACCACCTTCGAATACCTCAAGGGCCGTCCTCTTGCTCCCAAGTACGACAGCGCCGAGTGGAAGAAGGCTGTCAACTACTGGTCTAGCTTGAAGTCCGATGCCGATGCTGTGTACGATACCAACGTCGTCCTGGACGGCAAGGACATCATCCCCACTATCTCCTGGGGTACCTCACCCCAGGATGTCATTCCCATCACTGGTGTTGTTCCTGGCCCCGATGACTTTCAGGATGAGAACCGCAAGGCTTCTTGCAAGCGCGCTCTCGAGTATATGGGTCTTACCGCCGGCACGCCCATGAAGGAGATCCCTGTTGACAAGGTCTTCATTGGATCGTGCACCAACGCCCGTATTGAGGATCTGCGTGCTGCCGCCAAGGTGGTCAATGGCCGCAAGGTTGCCTCCAACGTCAAGCTTGCCATGATTGTGCCCGGATCGGGTCTGGTCAAGGCGCAAGCTGAGTCCGAGGGTCTGGACCAGATTTTCACTAATGCAGGCTTCGAGTGGCGTGAGGCTGGCTGCTCTATGTGCCTGGGCATGAATCCGGATATCCTCCAGCCCCAAGAGCGCTGCGCTAGTACCTCTAACCGCAACTTCGAGGGTCGCCAGGGTGCCGGTGGCCGTACCCATCTCATGTCGCCCGCCATGGCTGCAACCGCTGCCATCGTCGGTAAGCTGGCCGATGTCCGCGAGCACGTCTCCGCTAGCCCCGTTGCTGCCAAGGCTGAGCCCAAGGTCGATGTCGAGCAGGAGTATGACTCCCCTGAGACCGAGGACGAGCTTGACCGCGTCCTTGACCTGCCAGCCGACAACGAGCCTCACACCAACACCTCGGCTGGCAGCAGTGCCGGTCTGCCCAAGTTCACCACTTTGAAGGGTATTGCTGCGCCGATGGACCGCGCCAACGTCGACACCGACGCTATCATCCCCAAGCAGTTCCTCAAGACCATCAAGCGCACTGGTCTGGGCTCGGCTGCCTTCCACGAGCTCCGCTACACCAACGGCCAGGAGAACCCAGACTTCGTTCTGAACCAGGGTGTCTACCGCAACGCCAAGATCCTCGTCGTGACGGGGCCCAACTTCGGCTGCGGCAGCTCGCGCGAGCACGCTCCCTGGGCTCTGCTGGACTTCGGTATCAAGTGTATCATTGCCCCGTCCTTCGCCGACATCTTCTTCAACAACACCTTCAAGAACGGCATGCTCCCCGTTGTCATCTCCGACGAAGCTGCTCTGCAGAAGGTCGCCGCTGAGGCCCGCGCTGGCCGCGAAGTCGAGGTCGACCTTGTCAACCAAGAGATCAAGGATGCTCAGGGCAACAAGATTGTTGGCTTTGATGTCGAGAGCTTCCGCAAGCACTGCCTCATCAACGGCCTTGATGACATTGGTATTACCCTCCAAATGGAAGGAAAGATCCGTTCCTTCGAGGCTAAGCGCAGCCTCGAGACCCCCTGGCTCGATGGCAGTGGCTACCTCAAGCGTGGCAACCGCGGTGCCACCATGGTCGAGGCAGCTCCCGTCCCCAAGACCAACCGGGGTGACGTGAAGAACGAGCCTCTGGAGTGGTAAAGTTGTCTTGGCCGCTTTATGGAAGATGATGAGCTTGGATATAAATCCGGTAATACGCTATCCTAGTCTTGGGCTGTGCTTCAAAAAACATTATTCCCCGCTATGTCTTGTTCTATGCTCCGTGTTTCTCGGGCTATTTCCTTTTGCTTCTTCGGATAGTCGACGAATCTCTTTGGGAATGAATTATGAGTTTATATCACCAGCTGAAGAACTGTAGTCTCTCTTGCCTAATTTAGAGAGTGAGAGTTGTAAATGATCCTCCAGGCTTGTTCCCTTGATCTGTTGACCGATATCATTACATTAGGTACTTGATCAACGACGACAAACTTAGAATAACCAGAAAAAAGAAAATTGACATAGGAAATAGACGTATATAAGAAATGTCAAGGCCTGAATATAATGCCTCAATGCCTCTTTTGTCATGAACACTGTATACTGTTCGACCAGCTTCAACCGAAATCGCGTATTGATATCTAGTTTACGGCTTGGAGAGTTGTTCTCTTCGGAAGAAGAGAAGGAAACCGCCACTGGAACTGTCAGTTAGAAATGAAATATTGCCATATATATCTCACGGAAATGAACTTACCATATTGAAAGCTGGAACATTAATGCAATCCAGAACCAAGCATTTCCCAACGCGCTTGCCCCAGCCGTGATATCCGGAGACACAGGGCCTGGTCCGATCTTATTTGGTGCGAAAGAGCGGGCACAGATGGTAGCAATGGAGCCCAGAACCTGCGACACTAGCAAAGTGAAGCAGATATGTATGCGCGTCAGTGTTTGCAACAGGATCATACCAAAGCCCAGACCCTGTAGTGCGTCCAGTACACCAAGCCATAGCCACAAGCTCCGCGATACCAGAGCCCCTGATGTGTATCCGCCTGCCCAGGGAAGGAAGAGGCCTGATCCAGAAGTCCCCCACCAGATTTGGGCCCAGCGTGGTGCGCCGAGCCCGCAGGCGATGACGGGGAGGATCCAGCTGTGCGATCTGGATAGGTGTGCTATGAACAGAAGCACTCCTATCCAGACGACACCGAAGAAGCCGACGCAGAGGAGCAGAATCTGCCATGGTTTGGCATGGTTGGAGATCCAGAGGACTAGAGCATGAACGGATTAGCTTAGATATGTCTTTGTGAAATGGGAAATACTCACAGTTCCAGTTTCGGCCATACGGGGCACTCAAGAAGAAGTTCTGAAGAATGACCACAACCCAGTTCCACAGCACGATCTTGCGTCGGAAGACAGACTTGTAGAATGAAGGGACTTTGCCCGGAGTCTGTCGGTAGTAATCTGGCAGGCCGAAGAAGACTAGCACGCCGACAGACCAGAGGAAACCCGTGATCGGGGCACAAATAGCCCTGTTATATATGTGTCAGCATCGTAATTAACGTCCATAGCAGGTGATACGCATACGTCATTCTCCAAGTGTTAGTGATGCTGCCCTGGATATTCGACACACCAGCAGCGGAGGCTTTGGTCAAAGTCGACCCCCAATACCACAGCGCAATAACATAGGCTTGTTGCGTGCCCTGAATTAGGCAAGCACGGAACACCCATTTCTTGACCGGGGCACCACTCTCGTCACCGAAATTAAGAGAAAAGAAAACCGAGCCACTTGACGAGGCCGCAGCATAGACGGCGCTTCCCACGTTCTGGATCCAGCCGCGTGCGAATGAGTTGGGCTCAAAATGAGCAACGCCGATAATTAGAAACGCGAGTCCGTACAGGAACCATGGGACTGTGAGAACAAGCACCGACTTGCAGAAGCGGAAGAAGAACCACCAGATACAGGAAGTAACCAGATACACTGTAGCGATTCCGTACAGTTTCTCAGCTGACTGTCCCACCTCACCGGTGAGCAGTGTAATCTGGTAAGAGTTTGCGGCGATGATCT